TTCTATTCTATTCTATTCTATTCTATTCTATTCTATTCTATTCTATTCTGATGTATATCGTTTTAACAGGCATACCAAACTTATTTGTAACATATTAATTCTGGTTTCGTTCCTGGCCGTTTCCACGCATGTATGCCTGTGTGATGTTTATGGTTTGTGTCAGCCCATTTAAGTGCTTCTTTTGCCGTTTCTTGTTATTTGTTTTCAGTCGGGGCGATTTAATGATTTCCCTGGTTTTCAGTCGTTGCAGTTATTGGGAAATCAAGAACAGTGTTTAGAAACTTATGAGCCCTATTGATCCCAAATCCATTTGAAGTACTAAATTATTGCAGCTGATTTTCTTATCAACAAACATTGAGACAGGAAGAGGAAAATGCAAATAATACAACAGAATAGAACAGGAACAGATCTTGAGGGTCATCTAGTCCAGCCCCCTGCCCAAGCAGGAGAACCTATACCATTTCAGATAAGTGACTGCCCAGTCTCTTTTTACAAACCTCCAGTGATGGAGCGCCCATGATTTCTGAAGACAAGCTGTTCCACTGGTTAACTTAAGCACCCCTGTTCTAAAATGAGAAGTCATTGAATCAATGCTTTGACTCCAAAGGAAAACATATATAGTAATATAAAGGAGAGGAGAAATTTCTGAGACAGGAAGTCTAGTCCTGCCAAGAATGGAATAAGGGTTAATTGAGAGGCAGTTTCTGTAAGCAACACCAGAATGTTTCCTTCCTGCCTTCCTTACAGGATTAGGCCAGTAATTTCTTCTAACAACCGGTTCTCCAAACTGCTTAGAATGTTAACAACCGGTTCTAGAGAATAGGTGCGAACCTGTAGAATCCCACCCCTGATTTCAACTCCCAGAATTCCCCAGCCAGCAAAGCTTGAAGATACCAAGGTTGAGAATAAAGCATATTTGAAAGAAACTGGAGTCCTTAGCTCTAAATTACCACCACTATTTCTACAAACGGACAAATCTATAATATAAAACATAGTCTCTGGAGTTTTTCCCCCCCTCCTTTGCTGGTACTTTGTTTGTGTGGAGTGACCATTCAAAGTTACAATGGCACTGAAAAAAGTGACTTCTGACCGTTTTGCACTCTTACAACTGTTGCAGCATCTCCACAGTCATGAGAGGCCAGGCGAGGAGATGCGTGCCTCGATGTGAGTGATGTTGAGTTGGCCACGCCCAGCCAGTCACATGACCACCAACTAAGCCACGCCCATAGAACCAGTTGTTAAACAATTTGAATCCCAGCCCTGGTTGAAGTCCACCCATTTTGAAGTTGACATGGTTGAGAAATACTGTTTTATTCCATGCACCGAAAACAGTGAAAACCTTTTATCTTTACTGCATTTTAAATTGGAAACTCAACATGCGCTTGTTTGTTTGACATATGAAGAAAATGTCCCTAGACTGAACTTTGCTCTGAAACTAGACTTTGCCTGTTTAATATTTGTACAGGCATTGAGATTTATTTTTTGCGTTCTGGCTTCTGCCCTTGGGATGCAGGGGAGATGTTTTTAGGCAAGAAAAAACAAAATTGCTGGACCAGAGCCCTTTGCCCTTGCCATAAACTTTTCAAAATAGTCTTGTCGGGTTATGTTATAAAATTAGCTGCAGAACGTGCTTCTCATTCCACATTGTGCCCATGGTTACTAGTTTGTCTCAAAGAACATCAGAGTCACACATCTATTACTTAGACATCCCTGATCATAATCTGTCATTAGCACTGAGTACTATGCAAAGCCCCATCTGTGACACAGCTGATAAAATGAAAGTGTTCAGCGTTCTTTCTTTCTTTCTTTCTTTCTTTCTTTCTTTCTTTCTTTCTTTCTTCCTCCCTTCCTCTCTCCCTCCCTCCCTTTCTTCCTCTCTCCCCTTTTCCTTGCCACCCACTCCCTCTTCCCTTCCCCTCCCCTCCCACCTCCTTCCTTCCTTCCTTCCTTCCTTCCTTCCTTCCTTCCTTCCTTCCTTTCTTTCTTTCTTTCTTTCTTTCTTTCTTTCTTTCTTTCTTTCTT